AAATCACAAACATAAAGGAATAAACCAAGCAAATCAAGCATGACACTAAACGTGAACACTAAAATCTATCATTAATCAGACTGGGTTAAAACAATAACAACAAAAAAGCCATTAAGAAAAAAAATCCTAAGAGTTCTGATCACTGGGAGAATTTTTTTCTTTTCTTTTTATTGTATTTTTATGAGATAGATAATGGATGTCAACTAAACTGTGGTAATCATTTGACAATATATGATACATAATATATGTGGTAATCATTTCACAAACCATCATGTGATACACCTTAAACATATACTGGGATGTATATCAGTTATTTCTCAATAGAAAAAAAAGGGCTATTTGTTGCTTCAAAGAAATACATTTATAATAAAGTTATGGTAGAAAATAACAAGTTAGAAAAAGAAAAAAAAAAATACCAGGCAAAGGCAAACAAAACTGAAGTCAGAAAAGAATATCAAGGAGTGAAATTTAAAGTTAAAAGCAATAAATAGGATACAAATAGATACTATATCAAAATAGAAGTTCTTCTACAACTTATGAAGAAAATACAATAATTATAACTATATACAAAACAATTAAGTAATTAATTATATAAAGCAAAACCATTCAAAATGGAATAAGAATTTGATACGTATCGTATTAAAATAAAAGCCTACAATAGGTTTATTTCAGAATGAGACAGATCTAGACGACAAAAAATATACAGCATATATTTACCAAATTGATGATTTGTCTGGCTATGAAGAAAACCTTGTTGTCAGAATAAAATCCAGTTAAGTTAGAAACAGAGTTTTTTTTTAATTGATTTATTCATTTTAGGGGTGGGGGAAGGGCAGAGGGGAAGAGAAACTCCAAGCAGACTCCGTGCTGAGCACAGAGCCCGACTTGGGGCTGGATCTCACAACCCTGAGATCAGGACCTGAGCCGAAAACCAAGAGTTGGAGGCTTGACTGACTGCACCACCCAGCTGCCCCAGAAACAAAGTTTAAAAAAATAAAACCCTCAAGGACTCAGATATTAGGAAAGGCTCTCCTTGAGAGCAGTTGCATCAAAGAAGATATAAATGTGAAACAATAAACTATATAGGAAGCAATGAAAAGAGAACACTTTATAGCAGATAAAGTAGTATGCAAACTTTACTAGAATGTAAGCACCTTTATGGCAAGAATTTTGCGTTTATGTGTTCCTAAATCAGTGAACACAATAAGTGTTCAATAAATATTTAATGAATACATACCAAAACTAATGAGGCACAACAAAAACATTATTCAGATGAAAACTAAAATATTTGGTACTCACCATCAAAATTATAAAAAGAATAACAAATAGAAAAACATAAAATGAAATTAATAAGAGGAATCCCCAAGTTAATTTTTAATGAAAAAAATAAATCCAAAGCTGGTTCTTTGAAAATATGAAGATTAGTGATTAATCTAATCAAGATAAACAGAAGAGGGGTGCCTGAGTGGCTCAGTTGGTTGAGTGTCGACTCTTGGTTTCAGCTCAGGTCATGATCTCTCATCATGAGATCCGTCCCATGGTGGGCTCTGTATTCAGCAGGGAGTCTGCTTAGGATTCTCTCTCTCCCTGTCCCTTTGCCCCTCCCCCTGCTCATGTTCTTGCTCTCTCTCTAAAATATATAAATAAATCTTAGAAAAAAAGAGGTAAACACACAAATGAGAATGGAACCATAGACAAAGGAAAATGAAAATAATTGTCAGAAAATATTATATGTAACTCTATAATTTTATAGACCTCTCAAGAAGGATGATAAACTTATAAACCTCTCAAGAAGGATGATCTCCTAGCAAAAGAGAAAACTATTAAATTTGGCCTCAAGAAGAAATTGAAAATTTGAGTAAATACATTACACTAAAGAAACTACAAAGGTAAAAAAAAAACAAAACCATTTGTCTTATTAGAAATGCAGTTGTATGAGGGGACTCAAAAGAGCATAGTTGTAATCATTGATTCGAAAAAATATATAACATTTTTGTGTTTGTCCAGTAGGCATCCCTCCATAAAACAGTCACAACTGCCAAGAAGAGAAACTTTCCCAGTATCTAGAAAAGTGGCCAATGGGCATACCCTAATACCTAACAACCCTTTAGAGAGGCTTTCCCACAAGAGCTTAAACAGCCATGATCAGGAATATTAACTTGTAATGGTGAAGATCTGAAGATAATCTAAATGTCCGTGGGAGGGGGATAGATGAACATATTGTGATGCATTCAAACAAATGACTTTATGCAGCAGTTAAAATGGTTACAGCTCAAAAATATGTTGAGTGAAGAAAGCAAGTTGTAGAAAATTACTGGTATATGAAACCAGTTATGTAACTTTTTTAAATAGACAAGACAGTGACTATACTATGCATCTGTTTCGGACACACATGTCTGTAATGAAAGCGTGGAAATGTGGACTGGACCCATGGCAGGAATGGATTGCCTGCAGACAGAAGCAGTAGCACACATCCTAGAAAGGCAAAGATGGGAACCTCAACTTTAATTTTCACCATTTAAAATGAGATCTAAAATAAATACAACAAACTGTCAATATGCTTTAAAATTCTGGAAATACGCACAATTTTGTATAACTCTTAGTCAAAGTTTTAAATTTATATTGCCTCTGAAGAGCTCTTTTCTGCACTCCTTTTCTCCTGTATGTTCCCAGTTTCCTGAGAGACACCCAGTACAGTCTCTTTCCCCATACCAATTCTCCAAAATTGGGGTACAATATCCAATGTACTCCCAAAAATGTAACTCTTACTTAGACTAAAACTCTGATGGAATTCAGTAAAGGCATTTCTGTAGAAATTACACTAGCAAACCAAAAGCTGCTGTTGGTATTTAGTGTAATTTAAAGCAGTTTATTACTCTCAGAGATATCTAACTATTAAATCTATATCTGTATGTTCTTTCCAAAAATTAAAATATCAGAACAGGTAGTTGCATCTTTGTAATTGTAGTGATGTTTTTCTGGGAAACGGTTTTCCCTGGGCTCCTGGAATCACATCTGCTAGGCAACCTTTTATATGCCTGTGTGTAATTCAAGTCCAGCTCAGTGAAAGCAATTAACTTGAGCATTGTTTTATTATTACATTAATGCAAAAGACTTGCATAGGGACACTCTAGTATTCACAATACTGCAAATAATTGCATAAACACACTTCTCAGTTCCCTAGATGGATAGGGTGACCAAACACATGACAAATCTGTTTTACTTAGAGAGACAATAGTTTGCTAGTGAATATGTGTTTAGAGAAATATAGGTAAGGGACATGGTTGAGTTTGGAATTAGGCACTTGATACTCTCAAGGATGCTGTTTCTTCTCAAGGCTTCTTCTTCAAAGAGAGCAGAAGGCTATTTCTCAATAATGTACAAGCTGCAGAGCAGGATACAATTTTTGGGCCGTGCACATACAGGCAGATTGCCACTGGCTGGAACAGAAAGCTCAATAACTTGCCCATTAGCATTGGATTTAGACTTTTACTTCAGCTTGTTTTAAATAATTTTTAACATAATCCAAGATTCCTTTAATGAGTACAAACAACATACACTTTCTAATAAGTCTGGTAAATGTATTTAGATTTCTGTACCACTTAATATCAGGTAGTACACAACTTATTATATTAAATAACTAAAAGCTTGGTTTACTAGTTTTATTAGTTTTTTTTCTTAATTGGCCTATTATACCAACTTATAAAATCTGAACATTTTTTATAAGAATTAGAAACTTCTGTTTCTATTATACTGAAGTCAGATAAATGACTCATGAAAATGTTAGAATCATACTGATAATTTAAATATATATATATATATACAAGTATATATGCTTAATTTAAGTATATATATACACTTTATATATATAAACACATATATATACACACATATATATATACATATATATATATATATATACACACACACACACAAATCAAATCTTTGATTACCTAAATTTAATTTTTGTTTTTGGTAATACTGCATTTAAATATATAATATGCCCATGTATTATTGGTTCTTAAATACCAGTATCCATGCTTCATAGTAGAAAAATTGCTGGGACACCTGGGTGGCTCATTCGGTTAAGTGACTGCCTTCCACTCAGGTCATGATCCCAGGGTCCTGGGATCAAGCCCCACATCAGGCTCCCTGCTCAGCGGAGCCTGTTTCTCCCTCTGCCTGCCGCTCCCCCCGCTTGGGCTCGCTCTCTCTCTCTCTCTGATAAATAAATAAATAAATAAATAAATAAATAAATAAATAAATAAATAAATAAATAAATAAAATCTTCAAAAAAAAAAAGAAAAATTGCTTAAATAGTTCGGGAATAAAATTATATTATATACTCAGGGTCATTTGTATTAATATATGTGACTTTTTGGTTCGGAAATATACTCTTACAGGCTCAACTTTCAAAAATATTTTATATTCTGTGTTTAATATCAGGAAGCTTTAATTTTACAATATGTTAACACAAAAGACTTGATAGCTCTGCGAAAAGTTTTGTAATACAGAGAAATTATACTAGTCACTTGCATTACAGTTAAAAAATTCAAATAGATACATTTATTACTATAGTCAGTTACTACAGAATCATTGTTATTTGATATATAGTGGAAATAAAATATGAAATATTCCTCTGAAGGCAAAAGTATACAATCACATTTCCATAAGAGTGAGGAAGCAAAATAAAGCATTTACCTCTGAACTCTCCATATATTCCAAAGAATTTGCAAACTTTAATTTATGACTAAATCTAAAAGGGAATACTTATGAAATAAATTTATCTGAATATCCAATGTACTCCCAAAAATGTAACTCTTACTTAGACTAAAACTCTGATGGAATTCAGTAAAGGCATTTCTGTAGTTATTCAGAAAGATGAATGGCTACTAAATGAAACATTAATGACAATGGGCACTCTGGCTCTGAATAAACGTGATAATCCTTTTCCCTTAAAAAAAAAAAAAAACGGAATTCTTCAAAAGCACAGTATGTTAGTGCTCACTTCAGTAGCACATATACTACAATGGGAACAATACAGAGAAGATTAGCATGGCCCTGTGCAAGGATGACATGCAAATTCTGAATGCAGTCCATATTTTTTAAGATATGGAAGTAACCCAAATGTCCATCAGTAGATGAATGGATAAAGAAGATGTGTACATATACATATATATATACATATATATATATACACACATACACATACACGTACATATACATATATTTATATGTATATGTTTATATATATATATATATACACATATTTACTGGAATATTACTCAGCCACAAAAAGGATGAGATCTTGCCCTTTGTGACAACATGGATGGACCTAGAGGGTATTATGTTAAGTGAAATAAGTCAAATAGTTGAAAGACAAATACCATATGATTTCACTTACATGTGGAATCTATAAAACAAATGAATAGACAAACAAAAAGCAGAACCAGACCTATAAATTCAGAGAACAAATTGATGGTTACTGGAGGGGAGAGGGGCAGCGGTATGGGCAGTATGGGTGAGGGCGAGTGGGAGATGCAGGCTTCCAATTGAGGAATAAATGGGCCACCAGAATGGAGGGTATAAAATAAGGAATGTAGTCAATGGCATTGTAATAGTATTGTATGGTGACAGATGGTGACTTGCACTTGTGGCAAGCATAGTACAAAGCATAGAGATGTTGAATCACTATGTTGTACACCAGAAACTGGTGTGGCAGGGTGTGTCAACTATGCTCAAAAAAAAAGACAGTGTATCATCAAAATTTAGATATGCTATAAATAAAAATTTGCCTTGTTCCCATCAAGATTTTAAAATAAATAGTTCTAAAAGTCTTTAGAATAAATAAATATTTATTTATTTATTCATCATAGAGAGAGAGAGAAGCAGGGGAAGCAGCAGGCAGAGGAAGAAGCAGGCTTCCCGCCGAGCAGGGAGCCGATGAGGGGCTCGATCCCAGGACCCTGGGATCATGACCTGAGCCAAAGGCAGATGCTTAACCAACTGAGCCACCCAGGCGCCCCTAGAATAAACATTATAAAAGACTGATATCTTGACCTTGGTGGAGAGGGCATGGCCATGTCTCACTGGATGGCAGAGAAGTCACTGTGGTACTGTGTCAAAGCCTTCCAGAAATCTGCTGTCTAGGGTGTCAGAGAAAGCTAGTCACAGGGAGACATCAGCCCAGAGGGCATTCTGTTACAGTATCAGCAGGGGAAGCTGCTGGCAGCTGAGCTCTGCTGACCACTGGCGCCGCAGGAGGTAAAAGATGGAGAAGCTGCAAGTGCCACAGGAACCTGCTGAGTGAGCATACACTGGAACCAGGAAGCAAAGCCCTTTTCTCCTCCAAGCTCTCTCCATCATCTACTTGCAAAGCCTCGAAGCTTGGTGACAATGCAAAAATACTTAGGGGCCCAAATCCATTTTCACGGAGTAATATAAAAGAGTGAACTTGGCTTTTTCTTCTGAGTGATTTTTCTGTCCTCTGCATGCAGTATTCAATGCTACAATGCTTGGTTATATCAAATCAGTCAAAGGAGAAAGATCATGAAGAATTTCATGAGAAGGGTTTCTAAGGGCAAGGTCTGGAAGTGGCATGTATTATTTCTATTTACGTGTCTTTGACAAGAACTCAGTCAGTCGTATGCTCAAACCTAACTGCCAAGACAGGATAGCAAATGTAGTTAAGCTGGTGCCCAGGAAGAGGAAACGTTTTTTGTTTTTTTGTTTGTTCTGTTTTTTTAAATTTATTTGAGAGAGAGTGAGAGAGATTGAGAGAATCAGTGTTGTGGGCGGAGGGGAGAGGCAGAGGGAGAAGCAGATTCCCTGTGGAGCCCCGATGTGGGACTGGATCCCAGGAGTCAAAAGCAGACGCTTAACTGACTGAGCCACCCAGGCGCCCGAAGAAATGGTTTTGGTGACTCGTTAGTCTCTGTCATAGATTATTTCTCTTAATTTATTATTTTATTTTTCCTGAAAGCAATGCATCTTACTGCTGGTCACCATTACCCCTGGCCTGGATGATAGTAATGTATGTATGTAATAACCTCAGATGTCAGCTGGGGCCCCTCCAGGCCACTAAAATCTGATGATGATGGTAATGTGTGTACATATAATTTGAGATGTCAGCTAAGATTCCTCTGCCCATTGAGTTCCAGATAAGATTTGCCCCAGTTTCATGCCCCCAGAGAGGTCTGCAAATTCCCAGAGTTCCTATATTCTTATAGACTTCTCCATACCTAAATTCTGCTTTCATATACACTGCTGCCATTCCTCACTGCTCTGATCCAGATATGAAATCCAAATCTTTCATCGATTTCCACTCAAAACTACTTGCTTAACCACCACACTCGTGGGTATGGAAGACTTTACAGAGGAGGTTTAAATGATAGCGGGAGGAATAATTTCAAAACTACATACTAGGCAGCCTCTCCTTTAGTACTGACTTCTGGGAAATTTCTGAGGCGCTTCACCTCATCTGGTTTACTTCTTCACATCACCTCGAGGCTCCCTTTCTCCCCAGAGTCTCTTTACCCCTCAAGAGGAAAACAGATCTCTTTTGCTTTGTCATACAGAACAATTTAACCATTTTTATTCGTTGTTTCTTAAGTTCCTACTGACACCAGTGTTCTTGGGAGCCTTATTTTCCATCCCCAAGGACTCTAATGTACTTTAAGAGAAATCCATGTGCTGCTTGTTAAAGCCAAAATTTTCACATTATTTCATACAAAGTCAAATGACTTGATACTGACTATGCTAAGTGAGTTCTACCAGATCAGCATTCCCAACATGTGTTCTACAGTGTACCAGTCCTAGGAGATAATCTGTAGACAAAAATAAATAAATAAATAAATGAGATCTATGATCAAGTAATTTTAAGAATCCTTGCATACTACATTCCTCTTCTTGGAAATTCACAATGCATATTAAGCATAATGAAAGCTGGGAAAAGTCACGTATCTGTTTAGCTGTGATAGTAAGTAGCTAACTTATTTGATGACATAACCTTTTTTTCCCCCCACAAAGTGCCTTCTAATGTACAGAATGTACAGAATGTAGAAAGTCCCTTCTAGCTATAATGTTCTGAAACACTGTAATTCTTAAGCGCCTATATGACTAATGACAAAACATCCATAAAAGAAAGAAAGAAAGAAAGAAAGAAAGAAAGAAAGAAAGAAAGAAAGAAAGGAAGGAAGGAAGGAAGGAAGGAAGGAAGGAAGGAAGGAAGGAAGGAAGGAAGGAAGGAAGGAAGGAAGAAAGAAAGAAAGAAAGAAAGAAACCATCAGAGCAACAGCCTGGCCAGAATGGGAGCTGTTGCACACTTTCTCACTGTAAGAGCCCTCTTGGGTGACCACTGCCTCCACCCAGAGTTTTAAGCCATCTGGTTATTCTAAGAGAGTGAGGCAGAGCCTCTCAAAGATTAATCAGAAATGAACAGGAAAAAGAAAAAGCAAATTTCCCAGCTGGTGCTGAAAGCTCCGTTTCTACACTTTCACCTTCAACAAGGCTACTTGAGTCAGGCCTTTGTCTGTCTGCCTGACAAACATCCCCTCCCTCTTTCCTCTTTGTATTCATCCACTCTAGGATCCCTGTGTTCTCTTGAGATAAGCTGCTTCTGCTCCCTGCACTCCTCCCCAGTCCCCCACCCTCCCCCCATATATTTAACCTTTCACTAATCTTGGTCTTAACTCTTGATCTTTTTGGCCAAAAGGACACTTGGTTGTAATGTAACCAAATTTTATAGCAAGTCAGCAGTCTAGACAGTAGATGACTTTTATTGCCCCTTCTAACCTTGACACTATGAAGTAGTTAGACCTTTGCTCTGGTAGAACACACTGACTACCAAATTTTTAAAAATATATCTTAAATGAGAAATATTGTTGGGTAGCACAATTCACTTGAATATTGTCACCAAGGCACAGGCCTACATTTTTATCAGATTGAAAGTGTCTTGAAAAACACATAGTGTGATATAAGTACAGTAAATCACTAGTATTTCCTGTCACTTTCTTGAAGAAGTATTTATTTCTACTGTTTGAGTACTTCAGACTCTGAAATAAATGTACTGAAGTCTCCTTCTCCTTTCAGATAAATTAACTTTTTTTTAAAAAGGTAGAAGTCTTTATATTTACTGACTACAAGTTCTTTGCCTGATACATGTGTTTTAAATATTATCACCCAGTCTAATGGCTTACCTTTCATTTTCTTAATGGAGGCTTTTAAATAGCAGAGTTTTAAAATTTTAAGTTCAATTTATCCATTTTCTTCCAGAATATTTATATTTTTAGCTTTTATGTTTAAGTCTATAATCCATCTCAAAAGAAAGTTCGTGTAGGATATAAGGTAGAGATCAAGGTTAATTGTTTTTCATATATTTATCTGGTTGTTACAGCACCATTTGTTGAAAAAAATTTCCTTTCTCCAATGAAATTCTTACTGCCTTCATTAAAAATCTATTGACCATAAATGGTGGATCTATTTCTGACTCTTAAAGATTTTAATTAAATGCCTCAGTTTCTATGTTCTCTGCCCTTGGCCTATTAACAAAACTTTAATGTAGTAAATTTTAACTTAATCTAGTCTTTTAATCTAGTAATTAATCCATGCTCAAATTCATATTAGAAGTTTATAAAAAGCATTTTAAGCTAGTCAAAAATATATTTGTAAGGCATAAAAACTGATTAATAAATCCAGCGTCGATGATATAAGATTTATACACTGCCACCTCAACATCTTTTAAATCCTGTAACTATCTTCTTTTCCTTCCCAAATCTCTAAAGTTCTTGTTCCCATACTTTTTCTTTTTCTCCCTAATATTTTTATTATTCTTAATGTCTTCCCACACAATGGTTAGCTTATTCCTATATTAAAGGTAACTAGATTTTTCTTTTGTTGAATGAATCTTTATAAAAGAGGCCTCCTCTGGCCCACATCATCTTTTTCTTTTGGCTAAGCCCCTTGAGTGTCTTCATCAGGTACTCACTATACAAACTTTCCATATTAGTACATGCCCAAAACATAGAAGGGGTTTGGATAAATATTTTAAATGAATGAGTAAATGAATAGACATATAAATGAAATAAATCTGGGTTATAGTCTCAACT